ATATATCAATAAAACTGAAACATCATGGACATTTCACAGATCATTACATATAAAAGTAGTACGTTGTTTTATTCAGTTGCAAAATATTATGTAGTCTGCAACTGGTATAATTTATTTTATCATTTTTGTGTTAATTACATTTAGGTGCCCCCCCCCCCACACTAGGTTTTGGCTATTAACAATACTCCAATAAAATACTACTGAAAGTAAATATTTTTACTTGTCTGAGTTATATTACTACAACTAAAAATGTTAAATCAAATTGCACATACCTATTTTAATAGATGCTGCCAGGTTGATTTATGGAAAGAAAATAGCAATTCACTGTAATGCCAATAGTAAATGAGACCATTTTTATACTTTGACTAGCACTGGATATACTCAATCTTTTTAACTGTTGCAAATATGCTGAAACCAGTGAGTCCTTATTGTTTGCATTTGTACTAAAATACATCGGTGAGATTTAAAATATTTTTATATACTAGGTATTTGTTATTTTCTCTTTTGTGGATTTAATTTAATATTTTTCAAGTTTTTTTAAACTGTATTTTCTATCTGGCTAAGTAATATAGATGACTTCCTGAGAGATCTAACATGGCTGAATTGGGAAAAGATGAGCTGATTTTGACCATGAGAAGATACTTTAAGAACCACATTCCCTGGGGACATTTGGAGAGAAGTTGGCAGTAGAGTGTCTACAGGAAGAAGAGAGACTGTGGAGCCGTGTGGATGCTACAACCATGCAGCAGCTAGTGGGACACTGCTGACAACTCCACAGCCAGCAGCTAGTGGGGATGCCTGCCATCTTCTCACAGTGAGGCAGGAGTAACCTGCAGCAACCCACATGCCACTGGTGATATTGTGTGAGGACTAACCTCCCAGTCCCCATGGACACTGGATCTGGTCTGAAGCACTGGCAGGAGGCCAGGTACCTATCTAACTCCATGAAGGGAGAACATACTGATTTCCTCCTAGACAAGGGGCCTGGCAACTAGCAGAGAGGAAGTGACATCTTAATAAGACTAGTGGAGACCACTGCATCCCATATGCCACTGTTAGATTTTGTCATAGGGATAAATCTAGTGTCCCCACTGACTTTGAGTCTGCCTGGAGAGTTGATGGGGACATGATGTCCACTTTAGGTCTCTGAAGAGACGGCACATTGCTCCCTTCCCCTCACTCCAAGGTACCAGACTCAGCTTGCCAAGGCAGAGCACCAACTGACCTCTACTGGGCATGCAGCTAGCTCTGGGCACAACGTGGTTATCTTCATGGATGGGGAGGCTCAAGGGAGAAAAAGTAGATTCCCTGCTCATTGTGATGTGGGAGCCCTGCATCCTGTAGCTGTGGGGTAAGGCATTGGGTTGGCAGGGTCTCTGGGCAATCACTGGGTCCAGCTCCAGGGGCTGAGTTCCCTGAGTGCTGGGGAGGGTCATCGTGGAGTGCTTTGTGCACACACTGAGGAACACAAAGACCCCTTTTTTAGTTTGCATGTTTTAGTGGGTGGAGTGCACCAGCACTGTGGGCTCACCCTGGGCAGTTGGTCCACCTTGGTAGAGAAGGGCTGGGGCTGTGAACATGCCAGCTGGTGTGATCATACCCTTTCCTGATGATAGAGATCTACCACCCCTAACTTGGATGTCACTCTAGACACCTTCCCTACCCAAGTCCTAAAAGAAAACAAATTGTCAACCCAGAAAACTGTACCCAGCAAAGTGCTCATTTATAAATGAAGGTAGGCCGGTGCTATGGCTCAATAGGCTAATCCTCTGCTTGCGGCACCGGCACACCAGGTTCTAGTCCCGGTTGGGGCGCCGGTTCTGTCCCAGTTGCTCCTCTTCCAGGCCAGCTCTCTGCTGTGGCCAGGGAGTGCAGTGGAGGATGGTCCAAGTGCTTGGGCCCTGCACCCACATGGGAGACCAGGAGAAGCACCTGGCTCCTGGCTTCGGATCAGCGCAGTGCACTGGCCGCAGCGTGCTGGCCACAGCGGCCAATAGAGGGTGAACCAACAGCAAAAGGAAGACCTTTCTCTGTGTCTCTCTCTCTCTCTCACTGTCCACTCTGCCTGTCAAAAAAAAAAAAAAAAAAATGAAGGTAATAAAGACCTCCCAAAACAAACAGCAACTGAAATAATCTGTTGCCACCCAGGCAGCCTTACAAAAAATAATTAAGGGTGTGCTACACTGAAACAGATAATCAATATCATGAGAGAAAACCTCCTAGTAAAAGTACAAAGGAGAGCCAAGACAAATGATAGTAATATTTATGAAAACACTGTAATGTAAATGGCCTAAATTTTCCAATTAAAAGATACAGACTGACTGAATGGATTAAAAAACAAGACCCATCTATATGTTATCTACAAGAAATATGCCTCACCAACAAAGATATGCACAAACTAAAAGTGAAAGGATGGAAAAAATATTCCATGCAACAATAAAAATGAGTATAAGACTAAGAAAGGCATTATGTAACAATTAAGGGATCAATTCAACAGCAAGACATGACTATAATAACATATGCATCCAAAGTTAGGGCACCTGACTATTAAATACAAATGTTAACGATCTAAAGAGAAACATATACTGCCATACAATAATAGTGAGAGACTTCAACACATGTATTTCATCAATGGACAGAACAACCAGGTTTAAAAAAAAAAAAAAGCAAGCTCAACAACAGAGTTAATCTGCACTATTGATGAAATGGGTCTAATTGATATCTATAGAACATTTCATCCCACAGCTTCAGAATACACACTCTTTTAATCACTGGAACTTTTCTTAGGATAAACCATATGCTAGGCTATAAAAAAATTCTCAGTTAAAACAAAATGAAATCATATCCTGTGTCTTTTCTGGCCACAACAGAAGTATTAACAACTGAAACTCTAGAAAATATGTGAACACTTGGAGACTGAACAACATGTTCCTGAGCAAACAGTGGGTCATAGAAGAAATCAAAAAGGAAACAAAATAATTCCTAAAATGAGTCAAGATGAAAATACAACGTATCAAAATTTATGGGACAAAAGCAAAAGCAGTGTTAAGAGGAAAGTTTACAGCAATTAGCACCTACTTCAAGAAATTGGAAAGGCATCAAATAATTTAGCAATGCTTTTTTTAAAATTTTTTTTTGACAGGCAGAGTGGACAGTGTGAGAGAGAGACAGAGAGAAAGGTCTTCCTTTGCCGTTGGTTCACCCTCCAATGGCCGCCGCGGCCTGCGCGCTGCAGCCGGTGCACCGCGCTGATCCGATGGCAGGAGCCAGGTGCTTCTCCTGGTCTCCCATGGGATGCAGGGCCCAAGTACTTGGGCCATCCTCCACTGCACTCCCTGGCCACAGCAGAGAGCTGGCCTGGAAGAGGGGCAACCGGGACAGAATCCAGCACCCTGACCAGGACTAGAACCTGGTGTGCCGGCGCTGCAAGGCAGAGGATTAGCCTAGTGAGCCACGGTGCCGGCAGCAATGCTTCTTTAAGATCTAAGGAAAAAATGAACAAACCAAATCCAAAATTAGTAGCATGAAAGAAATAGCAAAAACTAGAGAAGCAATAAAATTGAAATAAAAATCAAAAGACCAGTGAAATGAATAAATAAAGTGATACAACATTGTCTGAAATAACAAAAAGAGGGGGTAGAGGAGACCTAAATTAATAAAAGCAGAATGAAAAATGAGATATTACTACAGAAATCATAGAAATAAAAAGAATCATCATGAATTACTACAGATATATGCCAATAAATTAGAAAATCTAGAAGAAACAGATAATTTCGACACATAAGATTTACCAATATTGAAGCATGAAGATATAGAAAAGCTAAATAGATCAATGATCTCCAAGACAGACATTGAATCAGTAATAAAGACCCTCCCAACAAAGAAAAAGCACAAGACTGGATGGCTTCACTGCTGAATTTTTTTTTTTTATTTGGACAGATAGAGTTAGTGAGAGAGACAGAGAGAAAGGTCTTATTTCCATTGGTTCAACCCCCCAAAATGGCTGCTATGGCCAGAACTATGCCAATCTGAAGCCAGGAGCCAAGTGCTTCCTCCTGGTCTCCCTTGCGGGTGCAGGGGCCCAAGCACTTGGGCCATCCTCCACTGTTTTCCCAGGCCACAGCAGAGAGCTGGACTGGAAGAGGAGCAACTGGGACTAGAACCTGGCACCTATATGGGATGCCAGTGCCACAGGTGGAGGATTAACCAAGTGAGTCACAGCGCTGGCCCCACTGCTGAATTCTATCAAACTTTTAAGAACTAATTCCAATTCTTCTCAAACTATTCAAAACAAGTGAAACACAGGGAATCTTCCTTAACTACTATGAAGCCAGCATCACCTTAATTCAAAATCCAGAAAAAGATACAAAAAAGAGAATTATAGACAAATATTCCTGATGAATATAGATGCAAAAATTTTCAACAAAATATTAGGTAATCAAATCCAACAACACACTACAAAGATCAGACAGAGTGGGATTTATCTTTGGTTTGCGGGGATGGTTCAACATTTACAAATCAGGAAGTGTGTTACATCACATTAACAAATTGAAGAATAAAATCCATGATTATCTCAATAGATACAGAGAAAGCACTTGATAAAATACAACATTGCTTCATAATAAACACCTGAGCAAACTGGATATAGAACATTCCGCAATATAAAGCAGTGTCTGACAAATGGACAGCCAGCATCATATTGAATGGGGAAAAGCTGGAAGAATTTTCATTAAAGATCCAAGGAAGCTGACTCTCACTATTATTCAATATAGTTCTATAATTTTAAGCCAGAGTCATTAAACAAGAAAAGTAAATCAAAGGGATACAAATGGGAAAGAAGGAAGTCAAATTATTCCTGTTTGCAGATGATATGATCCTACACATAGGTGAACCAAAAGACTCTAGGAGAGTATTCAAACTCATGAGAGTTTGGCAAAGATGTAGGACAAAAAAATCAATGCACACAGATAAATTAACTTATCTAAACACAATGCCATGGCTAACAACTTTTCACAATAGCTACAAAAAATTTAAATACCTTGGGATAAATTTAACCAAGGACATAAAAGATCTCTACAATGAAAATATAAAACATTAAGAAATGGAAGACACACAAAAAAATGGAAAACCTTGCATGTTAATGTATTTGAAGAATATTATTAAAATGTCCATACTTCCCAAAGCAATGTACAAATTCAATGTGATCCTAATCAAAATACCACAGACATTCTTCCCAGATCTAGAAAAGACAACCCTAAAACTCATACAGAAACACAAGAGAGCCCAAATAGCTAAAGCAAAGAATACAAATAAAGCTGGAGACATCACAATGCCAGATTTCAAGACATAATTTAAGGTGGTTATAATCAACACAGCCTGATACTAGTAAAAAAAAAAAAAAAAGACATGTAAACCAACAGAATAGATTAGAAACCCCACAAATTAATCCACAGATATACAACCAACTAATCTTTGACAAATTAAAATCACTCCCTGGAGAAAGGACTCTTTAACAAATGATATTGAAAAAATTGGATTTCTGCATGTGGACATATGAAATAAGATCCCTACCTTACATATTACACAAAAAAATCAACTCAGAATCATTAAGGATCTAAACCTAAGTCCTGAAACCATCATATTTCTAGGGGAAAACACTACAAGACACTGGCATAGTTAAAGACTTCTTGGATAAGACCCCAGAAGCACAGGCAATAAAGGCAAAAATAGACAAACTGGATTACACCCAAGCTAAGAGCCTTCTTCCCAGCCAACGAAACACTCAGCAAAGTGAAGACACAACTGACAGAATGGGAGAAAACATTTACAAAACATACATCTCATTAATATCCAGAACATATAAGGAGTTCAAGAAATTCAACAACAACAAAGCAAACAATCCAGTTAAGAAATAAGATACAGGTATGAACAGGCATTTCTCAGAGGATGAAATAAAAATGGCCCAAAGACACATGAAAAGATGCTCGGATTACTAACCGTTAGGGAAATGCAAATAAAAAAACACAAGAAGCTTTCACTTCACCCCAGTTAGAAATGGCTACCATCCAAAAAACAGAACAAATGCTGGTGAGGAGGTGCATAAACAGTACTCTAATACACTCTTGGTGGGAATGTAGACTGGTACAATCATTATGGAAGTGAGTATGCATATTCCTCTGAAATCCAAAGACAGATCTACCGTATGATCCAACTATCTCACTCCTGGGAATTAATCCAAATGAAATGGGCTCAGCATATGAGTTATCTATACTCTCACGTTTATAGTAGCTCAATTCACAATAGCTAGCATATGGAATCAACCCAGATGTTCATTAACTGAGGACTGGATAAAGAAACTGTAATACACACAATCTCTCCCTCTCTCCCAGACTCTCACGGCCTCATCCCTCCCACTCTTGCTGCCTCTCCCTCCAGCCTCTCCACCTCTCTGCATCTGTCTGACTTTCAAATAAATAAGTAAATCTTTAAAAAAAAAAAATAGGCTCCAAGGCTGCCCTCCTTTGTAGAGATGGGCTGGGGCCTTTGCAAACCCTATTTTCTCCATCAAAAGGGGCCTCATGTTGAGTTTTGCCAACAAAAACACACTAGAGGGAGAGTGTGTGACTGGAGTAGACCATCTGACATGCTTCCCGTGCCTGTTAGCATCAGGCCCAGCAATGCGAACATGAAGTGGAAGGGCAGTTGATTCCTGTGGCTGTTGGTTTCAGATCTGATTTGTACTGCTTGATCAGTCTCCCAGGGCCTCAGCACAGCTAGATGGCACCTCTCCCCTGCATTTTGAGTCCCAGTTGAGCAAGGCCCTTCTCCAAATGTTAATATATCAAGCCACAAGAAAATTGCTCATATTTGAACATTTCGATGTAAAAATCAGTAATTTTGTGTGATTCCTCCAGGAACAGCTCCGTAATTTGTGGAGCTTCGTGTAAAATGAAAACAAAGGTGCCTTGTTGAAAAACTGTTAGGAATTACAAGACAGCGACAACAGAGTAGTAAACCAAACTCTGAAGGGTGATGTGAGACTGCATAGGTCACACACCCATGAAGTTGGCCTTGGTTCAAACTAGTCAGCTCTTAAGAGTCCACCCACCTCCCTTAATTCCCCTCACCCTACAGAGTGAAAACTGCCTTCAGTAGTCATTGTCTCCACTATCTCAGTCTTACCTTTTTCACTGAAATCAACTCTTATCTTTATTACAGTCACTGATATGGCTGATCACTATTAGATTGCTTATTTTATCTATTTGACCTCTCATTAACAACTTAGGGAAAAGAAACTGCTCTGTGAAGGTGGGAATGGTGTGGGCTTTCAGGGGATATCAAAAAAGCATACTTTAAAAAAATAATAAATATGCCACCAAAGCATCAAAGCCAGAAGCTTACGTATTTAAATGTGTTCAAAACAATTAGAAAGACGGGGGTGGGGCAGTGTTGCGGGCAGTAGCTTGTATCCTATATTGGAGAGCTAGTTCAAGTCTTAGCTGCTCTGATTCTGATCCTACTAATGAGCCTGAAAAAGCAGCATATGATGGCCCAAGTGCTTGGGCCCCCGCCACCCACGTAGGAGACCCAGATGGCATTCCAAGCTCCTGGCTTGGGCCTGGCCCAGTCACTACAGTCGCAGCCATTTGTAGAGTGAACCAGGACGTGGAAGACCCTTTTCTTCATTTCTTTGCCTTTAAATAAATCTTTAAAAAGAAGTAAATATACTTCTTTATTCTTAGTTCAGATTTTAGGATACTGTTTGTCTTTCCCACAGAAATTCTTCTATCTGGATATGGATTTTATGTTGCTAAGTGGTATGACATTAAATTTCAGTGTATGGAAAATACTAGCAACAAGGTCAAAATTTTGAAGACCTGGTTAGAAATCCATAGACTCCCACCCCCAAATCTTTGTATATGCAATCAGCACCATTAGCCTGGGGGGTGACAGTGCCGCCCATGGACTCTTAGCTGTAGAGCTGGAATCTAATATTTGATTTGGCTCTTAAAGAGAATGCTAATTTACAGAGCATGAGATGGGTCTCTGCTGCTAAACAATTAGACACATGTTAGCTTGTGTTTCTATGCAAGACCCACATTCATCAAGGCCTGTTGTAATCTAGCTGCTGTTTTGAAGGATGGGGGCGTACATCTGTGTGCAACAAGTCCCATGCATTCAAATTGCCCTTAAAACCACGAAGTCTTAGTAGCTAAAATCAAACAGTCTCATACCTGGGAACAGTGCTAAGTGTGAGCGTAAGCCCCGCATGGATGTGTGGTGGAGAAACATTTTTATCTCGTTAGGGAGCACGCTTTAATGCAAATTTGAGAATGAGAAGTTATAATCAAAAGCAATTCTGTTTCTGAGCTATTTACAGAGACAGAAAATATTACCTAGCCTTTATAAAACTGCAAATTACATCTGATTTGAACTTCATTGCTAACTCCAGAGTGAGAGAACGCTCCACGTTCCTGTTAAATACAGAAGCTTAAATGAGAATTCAGCACCCAGGAGACAGCTGACTGACAATACACAATCTCCCTGAAGCTGAGTGGGTACACACCACACAGTTAATCAAAGCTCCACTCGGCCGCCAGCCACTTGGGCATTCATCAGAGCCCAGCAGAGAGCCTTTGAGACAGACGATTCGCATGTCGCGGCTGCAGCTCTGCTTTCCTTGACATCTGAGCAGGTGACAGGTTTCTGCAGCCTGGTGACTGGGCCAGCATGAGTCGGCAGTAGAGATGACAAGCAAATCTGTAGCTTAGGGTGTCACCGACCCTTGTTCCCTCAGAACTGGCAAGGCTGCCACCAGTGTAGCTGTAGTCCTATGGTTTGGGGAGACATAGCTCGTTTCAGACAATGTAACAGGACAGGTACTTTTCTCTGGCAGTTATAGATGGGTACCTGCCGTACCGTCTCCACAACACCCACCTTCCCCTGACGTTCATACAGAGTAGGGTGTGCATGTGTAGAAAAACAACAAATACTTTTGATTCTGGTCAAGTTAAATCTGAGATCTATGCTTAGTAAAACTTTACCTACAAAAATGGTACACATGGATGGATATTCCTATAACATTGACACCTACAAAACAGTGCCTTTCTCATAAGGTAAATGCAGGTTACTTGGAAACCTATGAAGTCACACCTTAGTGCAACCATTTGTCACTTGCTCAAATACAATTCAATCAAAATTAACGTTTCAGTTGAATGTAGAAGGACCCCATGAGAAACATGCGAAGTCTCCTGCACAGTTTTACCCAGGACCTCTTGTTTGCCTTGCAGCCCACTTGTGAACAAGTTCTGCCTGTCTTGACCCAACACTAAACTTGCCGAAGCAGCTTTCTTTGTCTCAGGTATGTGTCCTGCTAACGCCTTCCAGAGCTTTAAAGGATCGCCTTCTCCCCGGCCCCATCTTACACTGATTTTCTGAGCACCTATTGTAGGCAGAAGCCTGCAAACTCCTGAAGAACACATCAATGCAAGTGCTCATGCTCTTTCTACTCGGGTAGCAGATATTAAATCGCAGCTTCAAAGCACCGTTTCCATGGCAGGAAAATGATTTGAGAGAAGAGCCTCTGTGGCAAACACTAAGGCGCCCGAGATTGTTCGCTAAGGACAGCTCTTTACAAGGAAAAGGCTCTCGAAATGTCCCCATTGCTTTTATCTAATAGGAAATGCCGCAAGCTGGCAACACTTGTGAGAACGTTTGCAGCATCTCCCCAGGACGCACAGACTTCATCGTGTACCCAGGTGAACTTGTGCCAGGTGGTTCAGACTCACTTCTTTCATTCCCATCTACACTCTGCATTCCCATTTATATAGAAATAATGAGGCCTTATTAAAACAGAGTCTTAATGGTATTCAGTGGAAGTACTCACTCTTAAGGCATACAGCCTGGATTCAAATCCCAGCTCTGCACCTCACCAGCATGTCACTTTGTACAAGTTACTCCTGCTCCATGTGCTCCTCTGTGTACCTATAAAATGAGAATTAAAAGATAGGTTCAGTGTCCCTTATCTGAAATACTTGGGGTCAGAGGGGTTTTTGATTTCAGACTTCTATACTTTGAAATATCTATATATGTACAATGGGTAACTTGAGCTTGGGACTCAAATATAAACACAAAATTCATTTGTTTTTTATACACATAGCTTAAAGTGATTTTTTTTTACTGTATTTTTACTTGTGCTTGCATTTTGACTTTGATCCATCTCATGAGGTCAGGTGTCAAGTTCCCAAAGATTCATATCTTGGAGCATTTCAGGTTGGGAATGTTCAGCCCGTAGTACCTGCGTGATGGAATTATTTAAGGATCAAAGGATTTAAATATCAAGCACTCAGATCAGTACCCGGCACCACGGAAGTTCTACTTGTGTGTTAGACATTAGTGTTATTTTATTATCTTAACAAATGCATGAAGCAAGTTTGAATAACTGCTTTAAAATGAGGAAAGTGAGGTTTGGCAGTGTTGAATCAATGTGAGAATTGTTAGAATGCCATGAGCTTGGTCTTTCCACCACAGGGTCACTAGCAGCTTTTGCTCTTTGCAAACTTACCCCAGCTATCTGAGTATTTGCCACAGAGCTTTTTTCTCAAATTAACCCAATTGTTTTCCAGCTATTAAACAGTATCTGGGAGTTGGCACTTAATAGGTTGTTCATGTAGAAACAGCATGAGAGCTGGGGCCGGCGCTGTGATGCAGTGGGTTAAAGCCCTGGCCTGAAGCACCGGCATCCCATATGGGCGCCTGTTCTAGTCCCAGCTGCCTCTCTTCCAATCAAGCTCTCTGTTATGGCCTGGGAAAGCAGTAGAAGATACCCAACTCTTTGGGTCCCTGCACCCACATGGGAAGCCCAGAGGAAGTTCCCGACTTCAGGATCAGTGCAGCTCCAGCTGTTGTAGACATCTGGGAAGTGAACCAGCGATGGAAGACCTCTCTCTCTCTCTGCCTCTACCTCTCTGTAACTCTTTCAAATAAATAAAATAAATCTTTAAAAAAAAAAAAAAACAAACCAGCATGAACACTTTCATTGAGTTTTTCCAGAGTTTGCAGGCTTTCATCTATAGTGGGTGCCTTGGTGGACCCTGTCACTGGTGTTGACTCAGGCTGAGAATAAATCCTCTGGGGAGGAGGACCTTCCTCAGGGTTGGGAATGGCTTAATCACCGGGATAGGTTGTCTGGTCTCCAGAATGCACAGGGAAACGGAAGGAAGATGGAGATGAGAGGCTTACCTAGCAAGGACAGGTTCCTCTGGGAACTAAGTACCAGGGTTTGAATGTATCAGTCTGTACGCTCATCTTGCCTTCTCTGTCCATAACCCTTTGATCAAGTAAGTGTTGGTACCAAGGGCTGCGATTCCTTTTATGTAAAGTGTGGATGCTACATTGGACACCTTCACTCTCTTGAACTAAAGGTACAAACCTAAGATTTTAAGGAGAGGCTTCAATGTCAAGTCTGTGTGGTTGATGTTGCACACGGACATCACTCCCAGACCACTCCATCACAAGAGAGTAGGTACGGATTCCATCATCTCTGGCCTCGGGGACCCTCTGGCTATATCCTGCCTGATAACAGTTCTATCTCCCCGGGCCCATCTCTGTCTAGTCTTTTCTTGCTGGAGTCATCTTGGAGCATAGATTTCCTTTTCCCAGGGAAGGTTCACTTCAGGATTGCAAGCCCAGCCTCTTTCCTTTCTTGCTCACTTGTAGCTGAGCCCACACCTTTCAAAAGCCCATGCTGTTCCCATTGTGGGGCTTGGGAAGAATAATGTGGGTTCTTGGCTCTAGGTGCTTTTCAAGAGAAGCTATTCTCGGCTCATCTGTCCTATCTGACTCAACAGTTCCAAGCAGTAAAATTGTTTCATTAAACACACAATCCCCTAGCAAAATTGTCTCTGACATCCTGTCTTTCTATGTAAGGAAATTCAAGTCAGGATAATGGACTCTGCGACAGCTATTGCAGGGAGAAATATATGGTACTTTCAGGATTTTTTTCATGCTTTCTTTTTCTTTTGTTACTAAGGTCCTGGTCTACAACAATTGCAAGGCATGTCCTCCGCCTCCCCTTACACTGCACACCTGCAGGGGTGGCAGATGGCAGTGATGTGAGTAACAGCAACAAACCTAGAAAGCTACCCATCCTAGGGGATAATGTTTATAAAGAAAATAAGGGGTCACTAAAGTAAGCAGTTATTATTTCTTGGGTAAAATGGGAAAACAGCAGTACCTGCATCAGGACCTCAGGAGTCAGTGTATGGAGAACACACAGGATGGGGTCTGGTGGGTGGCAGTGATATTGCCAATACTGGCCACTGTCATTCCTTTCACTAATATTGTTATCCTACTGTTCTCAAAACAATCCCTGTCTTGCCAAGTTATCCCCATTACATAGACAAAAGTGAGTGATTTGTTCATGCTTACAAAACTGCAGAGGGTCAGAGCTGAAGCTATAGTTCTGTCTAAGAGCAACACATGCAGTCTTATCACTACAATCTGGGTGGCACCGGCTGTGAGTAAATTCCACAGGAAAACGTAATTTCTTTTTCTCTGTGGGTTCAGACCTGGTGGAATTTGAGTTGGGTCTAAAATGGGTAGTTGTTTTATGCCACTAAGATAATTAGGAACAGGAAGCTGATACTGTTTTTGAAAAACACAGTGGAGTTAAGGCATAATTTGTAGGGGTGCTTTTTAAAATCACTATTTGTAATACTCCGATGAGTACAAATCACATTTTTCCACATTTAATGAGCACACACACTTTAAGTCTTGACTGATACAGGAAATTGAATTATGAATTTCTCTTATATGAAGGAAAACTTGTATCTTAATGTTGAATTATCCCATGCTATGGCTCAACACCAATCTTACTACTTGTAGATGGTTTTCCATTTTTCCTTCATTCGCTCCTTCTTTATTTTATTTGTTAGATAACAACTACTTGACAACCTTCTATGGACTCAGGTGAATTAGCAGGATCTTTACCCTAAAGCAGCCTTGATTCCTCCCATTCCTCCGGAGCTTTATTGCCCTTACAGTTACTGGATTCCAAAACAAATACTATCCCACTAAGCATAGCTCCTCCTCCCTCTCTACTCTATTTGCCAAAACTGATGGTTGCAGTTTAAATGTTACCTCTGATCTGACACATAGACTCCATCACATCTGTCTAGCCCTTATGACACCCTGTCCTACGGCTAATACTTAATGGAAATACTGTGTGTTCCCTTTATCAACCTTTCCTTCTTTAGTCCTTACCGCTAAGGCATGCAGTGAGGTAAGTATTTTATGTTCTCCATATTAAAGATGAATAAACTGAGGTTTATGATATATTGGCAATATAGGATGATACAGAGGTGTGTCACAAAACAATCTACTCTCAGATAATGATTCAACTTGTTCTAACAGTAACTTGTCCAATGTCACATAGTTAATGAAACATGGAGGAAAAATTTGAACCCAGACTGTCTGATCAAAGCCTGAATTAATTGTTCAGTTTGATTTATAGCTAGGCTGTGACTACCTAAGTATAAGACATTAACTTACTTGTTCTTAAATTGCTGGCACCTAGCAAAGACGTCAACTGTATCAACAATTGAGAAGTGGAATGAGGTAACATTTGAGTGGATTCAGATATCTAGAAAACTCCAGTAGAAGTAGCAGAAAGTGTTAAGAGGACATGTAGCTCATTTTCAACCTTGGCAGTATTCAAGTGATATGACAGTTTGACATGTGAGCATGAATTCAGGGAAGATTTACGTAAGATTTAACTTCCCAAAATTTCCTTAGCTTGTTAGCATTTAATGTACAAAGAGCCAAGGTTTGAATCTTCTGGAGAAAGTTACTTTTTGATGCATCCCCCTGCTGCCCTGTATTGTCACTTGGGTACACGCTAAAGGCTTCTTTTCAGGCCTTGCTTGAGAAAATGGATCTTGGAGCAGGATATGTCCTGTGGACCTAAGTCCTTATAGGGCAAACTGAAAGGCGGGCTACCAAGGCCCCCTCTCTTTCCCCAACCTGTCTTTCATGATGCCTTATTATTATTAGTTAACCTGAATGTAAATAGCCTACATCTTCCAATTAAAAAAAATACAGACTGGCTGAATGGATTAGAAAACAAGACCCAGCTATTTGCTGCCTACAAAAAACAAACAAACAAACAAAAAAACAAACAAACAACAACAAAAAAATCTCACCAACAAAGACACATGCTGACTGAAAGTAAATGGATGGAAAAAGATATTCCATGCTAATGGAAGGCAAAAAAAGAGCAGGTATAGCCATCATTGTATCAGACAAAATAGACTTTTAAGACTAAGAATGCTAAAGAGACAAGAAAGACACTATGTAATGATCAAGGATCAATTCAACAGGAAGCTCTGACGATAATAAATGTATATACACCCAATTACAGGGTACCTGACTATTTAAAAGAAATGATAATGGATCTAAAGGGAGACATAGACTCCAATACAATAGTAATGAGGGACCTTAATATTTCACTTTCATCAATGGACAGATCAACGAAGCAGAAAATCCACAGAAAAACAGCAGAGATAATTGACACTATGGACCAAATGGACCTAACAGATATCTACAGAACCTTTCATCACACAGTTTCAGAATACACATGCTTTTTCTCATTGTAGGGAAACTTCTCTAGGATAGACCATATGCTAGCCCATAAAGCTAGTCTCAGTAAATTCAAAAATAGATATTATACCATGTATCTTCTCTGACCAGTGAAATCAAAAACAGCTTTTGTGAAAAAATAAAATTGATATGCTATTGGCCCAACAAAAAAATAAGACCCAAATTATTAAAATTAGATATGAGAAAGGAAATATAACAGCAGATACCACAGAAATAATAATCATCAGGAATTACTACAAAGAGCTATATGCCAAAAAATTGGAAAATCTAGAAGAAATAGATTGTATGTATCCAGGAATCAATCTATCAAAATTGAGTTAAATGAC